GTATAACTTTTGACTCCCCCTAAACTTAATAGCTTACTGTTGACCAGAAGCCTTACCATTAGCATAAAGAGTTAGTTAAAACATGTTAAATGTATTATGTACTGTATTCTTACAATAAAGGAAGCTAGAGAAAAAAGATTATAAGGAATGGGGTGCTTTGGGTGGCTCAGTCATTAAGTGTCTGACTCTTCATTTCAGCTCAGGTCATGATCTCAGGGTTGTGGGATCAAGCCCTATGTCAAGCTTGTGCCCAGTGCTGACTACTCAAAATTCTCTTCATTCCTTCACCCTTTCCCTCCCCCTCTGCACCTCCCCCTTCTCTCTTTCACATGTGTGCCCTCTCTCAAATCAATGAAATTTTTAAAAACTGACAAGAGAAAATACACTTAAAATACTATATTGAAAACAATCTGTATAAGCGGACTGCATTTCAAACCCTTGATGTTCAAGGGTCAACTGTTCTTTGAAATATGAGTTACTGGGCATGGTATAGTGAGAAAAGCAAGAGTTTGTAATCACTTACTCTTGGGTTCAGTTTTTGATTCATGGCAAGTTCATCCCCAAGGATCTCTATATTGTCACTTAGGAGATGGGAATGATGTTTGCTTGGATGACTGTTGTGAGGATTAAATGGGATAATATATATAAAGCATCTAGGACTGTGTCTGGCCTGTTGTGATCATGCATGTTAGTGCCTCAATCTCACGGTCAGAAATTCTGCGTTGCCATCTCCTTCAGTGGTGACATCTCTGTTATGGTTCATTCACTCTACGTCAGGATAGGACTTCATCATGCATTTGCCTTTGTTTTGAGGAGTCCATTACCAAGCTATTGAAATTGGCACTTGCTAACTTACTCAGTTGTTTGAGTGCTCTCTGTACCAGACACTGCTCTAACACTGCTCTAGGCACTGGGGGAAACATGGTGGACCATCTCTTACGCACTTTATATTTCACTGAGTGTGTATTGGTGTCCTATTGCTGCTGTAAGAATTTACCAAATGTTTACTGGCTTAAAACAACAGAAATTTATTATCTTATAGTTCTAGTGGTTGAAAGTTAAATCTGTTTCTCTGGGCTAAAATGAAGATGTCAGCAGGGCTGCTTCTGCTGAGGCTCTGGAGGGAGAATCTGTTTTCTTTCCTCTTTCAGGTTTTGATGGCTACCTGTATTCCTTGATTCCCCATCTCTTCCTCCATTTTCAAAGCTGCCAGTGCAACTTCTTAAATCTGTCTTCACATTTACTACTGTAGTGAAGTCTCCCTCTGCTGCTTCATGTGAGGATATGCTATGTTAATGGAGTGACAAGAAACAATAAGAGAACTTTAGGGGAGATCTAATGGAAGAAACGGGCATTTTGTTGGAGTCTTAGAATGTTGGTAAAAGAACCCTTCCCTTCAGCCCCTAAAGGATTGCTTTAGAAAGAATAGTGTGTTTGTGTACATTGAATAAAAATAATTTAGCGTCGAGGTTTATGTGCTGTTCTTGTACTCTTATCAGGAATTGATGGGAAGAGGTGAGGTGCGGTGCAAGGGACATCTTTTAAACACTCCAGGAGCTTTTTGACCACACAGATTTCCTTTTGTTTAGGAAGGGGAGAGTTAGTAACCTAAAGAGATTTTTCCTACTAGCCATTCTGCCGATATGCATTATTTTACTTAAAGCCTGCAGGTTGGTGAAGTACAGGGGTGTGTTAACTTCATTTTACAAAATGAGAAAACAGACTCTTAAGAATTAAGTGATTAGCTTATTTCACTGAGCTTAGAAAGTAGTAGAGCAAGTATTTTAACCCAGGTGAGTCCAACACCAGAGCTAGTGTATAATGGTAAAACTAGTACACATCTGTGCCCAGTGGCTATGAGTCCTGTTTGGGGGGAAGGGGGATAAAGATTATTCTAATTTTAAAGAAATCTGGCACACTTGAATTACTTTCTATATGTTGTGCCTTTTCAGAGGTGAGTCTGGAGCAGTGTTTCACTTAGAAGTGGGATGGACGGGCAGAAGCTTTCCTGAGAGACAGATGGAAGAAATGGAAGGATATCCAGTAACTAAGGCAGACAGACACCTCCTGGTGTAAGGTGTTGTATAATTACACTTAAGACCTAAAGCAGTGGATCTCAAAGTGTGGTCTGAATTTCTCTGGTGGCCTCCTGAGGCCCGAAGAGGAAGGCCTTGAAAGTCAGAATTATTTCCGTAATACTAAGATGCTTTTGTGTTATAATCCTTTCTCAATTTTCTGGAATTTTCCAGACAAGTAATGCTGTAATGGATTGACTGCAGAAAGGATATGAACTGTCTTTTATTAAGATAGACATTAAAAAGAGTTACAAAGGTATAAAATAATGCCACCCTTCTCACTAATCAAAAGATTATTAATAAGGTATGTTTAACAGTAGTACTTAAGGTATTTAATATTTATTTAAGATTTTATTTATTTATTCATGAGAGATACAGAGAGAGGGACAGAGACATAGGTGGAGGGAGAAGCAGGCTCCCCCTGGGGAGCCCAATGTGGGACTCAATCCCAGGACTTCGGGATCATACGCTGAGCCAAAGGCAGATGCTCAACCACTGAGCCACTCAGGCATCCTGATATTTAATATTTTAAGATATTTTAATATTTTCTTAGTTTTAATTTTTAATCTACTAAAATTGATAAATAAGTCTCACACTAACCAAAGCTCTTTGGAGTCCTAACTAATTTAAGGTTGTAATTTAAGGATCCTGAGACTAAAAAGTTTGAGAACTGTTCTTTATCAGTTACTATGGTCAGTGGCCACTATTTCTAGCACTCATAATTGGAGAATGGGGGGGGGTATTTTTCTCATCCTCTCTATAGCCATCAGTGTGCTCCTTCTACTGTCTATCGTATTTATATTTCAGGTGGGAAACCACTTAATTTGGACCTTATTGACACCAATTTCAGTTTTAAGTTGGATTAAAATTTTAAAGCACCATGTTCTGGGGTCAGTGGAATGCTTTAGGTGCCTGTGTCTTACTCATTTTACTTGTACAGAGTGAAGTGTTCAAGCTCACGCAGCTTTCTTTGTAAAATCTGTATACTAGTTAATATAATTTGACTTCCAACTTGAACCATAAGAATCAGGTGTGATCCAGAATTTCAGTGCAGAACAGATTACGCTCTGGTGGAGGGAGTAAGTGGTTTTTCAGTATGACAGTGCATTTTCTTTCCTTTGTTCTAGTGGATATGTTGGGAGGAAGTGGTTATGAAATGGGTAATTGCCATTTAGACAGCCAATGACTGTTCTGGCACTGTCTGTGTCATGTACTTGCAGATAAAATTGAGGCTGAAATTTAGAATGGTTATACTTTGTTTTTCCAGAAGAACATCTAGCTGCATTTATTAATTCCTCTAAGCCAGCAAGTCAGCCAGTCAACCTGTGCTCTTTGAGACCAACAAGAGAGTAATGCTTGCTATCTGAAGCTTATATTGATCCTTTAATCTAAATGGCTATTATTACCAAATTGTTTCCCTCCTCCCGCAGTGCCTTGTATTGGAGGAGAAGCCTCTGCCGTAATGCCAGTTGATGAATACTGGCTGTGTTTACCAGCCTCTCACGTTAGACCTTTTGTACAGATGGTCAGGGTGATGCACTCTTCTCCCCATTGTTGCTGGTTTCCACGTGTTCTCCCTTCAGTGCCCAAGCCACCAGGTGCACCTGCCACATTGCCAAGGGGCAGCCACAGTGCCGGGCCTCCTCCACCTTCCTCCACTGTACCCCCTTCCACATCCCAAGCATCCTGCTCTTCTGACCCTAAACCCTGCCTTTCACCCCCTGCAGCTGATGGTAGGCAGGAGAAAAATGTGCAGTCTGGGTTGGTAAGTTTTTTTTTTTTTTTTTTTATTATTGAGATTAAAACTTGATTTTTATAAAAATTTTTCATGCCTATTAACATTTCTAACCATTATCTCATCTTAGCACAGATTTTTGTTTTAATAAAAGCTAATTAAATATATCATCAAAACAGTCTTCCAAACTAATACGAAATGTATATAAAAGCTAGGAATAAAATGGTTTTTTAAATTAAAAGTACATAACATTTATATGCCTTGTTATGTGTCAGGTACATGGAAACTAAATTTTAAATAAAATACCAGAGGCCTTGTGCATAGGTGGATTAAAGAAGTAAGCTTTAGGGGAGCCTGGCTGGCTCAGGGGGGGTCATGAGTTCAAACCCCATGTTGGATGGGAGAGATTACTTAAAAAACTAAAAATAAAATAAAATCTGTTCTTTAAAAAAAAAAGAGAGAGAGAGAGAAGCTTTACAGGGACGTGTTTGTTTATTTAGCCTCTTCCATCCTCCTTCCTTTTTTTTTTCCTTTGCGTATTTAAAATGCCTTGGAAAATTAGGGACTTTTACATTTAACTATTCATGCAGTTAAATGTCAATTAATGATTTTGTTCTGAATTTTTACCTAAACAATGTAGGAAAGTATTTGGCTGATCTGTTTCCGTTGCTATTTACCAGTCCTCTATCTTAACCTGAGACCTTAGCCCATTCATTGTGGTACCTTTGATGATAGAAAATAAAGATGCTGCTGACTGGTATTGATGATTTTACTAAAAACATATAAGATGAGTGTTTTAAAAACCTAATTTGAAACCTAGTATAATAATTCTAGGAAAAATTTACTTAATTTAAGACTAAGTTGAAAAAAATTAAAAAAAAAAATAAAAAAGACTAAGTTGATCTTGTTGGAATGTGAAGGCCTAACTTACGTAGAAGTACTATATGAACATTTCAAAGTTAGCTATCTGTGCTATAAAAAGGAATTTGAACAGCCCTAACAAAAGCAAATCACTGATCACCACTTCAGAAAGGGGTTGCACATTTTCTGTTTTGTGTGCTATAATATAATTACTATTTTTCCTTTGAAAATTCCTTTTGTTTTTCTTTAAAGAAAGGTTTTCTCACAAAACTTTTCAGATATTGCTGCTTTTAAGTTAAAGTATTTCCCCTTCCATTGTTTTTCTTTAGGCTTATCAAGAGGGCAGACTTCAAAACCTACTAAACATGAATGGCTCTGAGGATCTTCCTGAGGCCTATGACTATGACCTCATCATCATTGGAGGGGGCTCAGGAGGACTGGCAGCTGCTAAGGCAAGTTCCATGTTATCTGGGGGATGGGTAGAATAGTCCTATTCCTAACAGACTTCTGGTTCTTACTGGAATCTGGTTCTCACTGGAATTTCTTTTAGCCATTCTTGTGACATTTTGCACATTAACTTGGGCAGCACATGTGTATAAAGGAACTATTTTATAAATCATTTTTCCAGGTTGAACTGGATCTTCTTTATGAAAGTACTTCTATATAACAGAACCAGCCCCAATATTTTGGGACATGTTTTCGTTCATTTTGACTGATTTTTCAAAGATAATCAAGGTGTTGTCTAGAAATGGCTTGAAATTAAAAATCTTTCTTTTTTAATAAATATTAATATGAACTTTTCACTTCAGTGATTTTCAATATTCACAAGCCCTCTACCCCAAGAGAAAAGTGGAGAGCAATTCGAATTCTTAAACTTAATCATTAAAAATGTTTGCTTCCTTTGTATGTGAAGAGAACTAAGAAATAACTACCAACTCTGGCCTGGGGGTAAGAGGGTAGAAGATGTGTATATATAAGAGAGGTTAAGGAGTAACCTTAAGAGAGATTACTTAAAAACTAAAAAAAATTAGGGCTCCTGGCCCTAAATTGAAATACATTTTCCATGTGTGAAGAGCTTGGGACCTGTCATCCTTCCCCAACAGTACTTTTAAAAAATGAGATGGTTATATTCCCCTAACATGTAGCTAGTGGATCAGGAAAGGTAAATTCAGGGGATCCCTGGGTGGCTCAGCAGTTTAGTGCCTGCCATTGGCTCAGGGCGTGATCCTGGAGTCCCAGGATTGAGTCCCACATCAGGCTTCCTGCGTGGAGCCTGCTTCTCCCTCTGCCTGTGTCTCTGCCACCGCCACACCCACCCACCCACCCCCCCGCCCCATGTCTATCATGAATAAATAAATAAAATCTTTAAAAAAAAAAAAAAAAGAAAGGTAGATTCAAATGAAGCTGCCCAGATAAAGATCAGGCCAGTGTCTGGCATCAAGCAATACTTTGCTGTAAATGATACAGGAATAATGCTGGATGTATTTTACTCCAGTTCTGGTGGTTTTAAAGGACACCAGACTCAACCTTTTCAAGTAACCTTTGGAGTTCTAGTTGCCAGTACACAAAGCTTATTCTCTGAGAAGTATAAAGGATACTTTGCAAAATGACCTTCTGACTGTTGTGATCACTCCCCTAAAATTGATTTGGAAACCTTCTAGATAACCATTAACTTTATCATTGGCTCCTCATGTGAAATTTTAGGAAATCTGACAAATTTAGAAGAAAAATATTTCCAATATTCTGCCGGATACTGAATTAGATAAAACTTAGAAGTACTTTAAAAAATACTTGTACGATACAGGTTGAATCAAGAGCTGTAGACTGTCATAAATCTTTTTTACTGAATACTCACTTGTTTGCTTAAAAATGACCACAGGTTTTTCAGATTATTGCTTAACATGCTTTTGTTTGAGTGAAATTCTGTAAGATTCTAGTGTTTACAGCGGACAGTTTTATAGCTGTCTCTGCATATTCTTTAAACTACCTTTATGACTGTCTGAATGTTCCTTAATTTTTATCTTGGAGTCACACTAATCATTTTGTATATGAAATTCCCAGGTAGTAATAACTGGTTATGCCTTAGGTACTATAGCTTAATAAGAAGAGTGTGGAGTTTTAATAACCCATTTCTAGTCTGTCATATTCACCTTTCCAGTTTATTTTAATACTTTTATTTTCTAGGAGGCAGCCAGATATAATAAGAAGATAATGGTCCTGGATTTTGTCACTCCAACCCCTCGTGGAACTAGATGGGGTAAGCTTTAAAATATTTTAGAGGTGAATTTGGAAGAGCAGGTTTTTCCCTGGCTCTTCCAAATTCCAAAATTGGTTTAAATGGCTCCTAAAACCCAATTAAAAATTTAAAAATTAGTGGCTTATTAACTGAAAATTTAAACATTTATCTGTGGATTTCCATTTTAAAACCAGTTCCTACATTCAACAGGAACTGGATTCAGGTATCTTAATGGATAGCCCGTGCTGCTTCCCAGTCTTGGTGAATTAAATATTCTGTGTTCATTTATCCTATAAGTATTAATTAAACACTTATTATGAACCACTGGAGATTATAGCAGTGGACTTAGTGGACATGAAGTTCGTGCCTTTGTGAAGTTTACATGCTAGTGAGGAGACAAGCAAGAACTTTATGAATTATGATAAGTTGTACTAGAAAAAATTATATGGTGGAATAGGGAGGACCTGGGTAGAGGAAAGAGTTTAACTTTGAGAAGATTATCAGAGAAGACCTCTGAAGAGGTGGCCTTTAGATAGGCCAAAAGAATTAAGAGTGAACGAACTATGCCAAAAACTGAGGAAAAACCTTTCAGGGAACTTTTCTCAGTTTTTCTTGAGAATAGAATATAAAAAGGCCCTGAGACAAGTAGGAGTCCTTCATGGTTGTAGCTTGAGTGGTACGAGCTGGAGGTAAGATTGGAGAGGAAGGCAAGTGTCAGGGTATACAAGTCCTGGTAGGTCAAGACGAGAAATTGGATCTAACTGGAGCATAGTAGGAAGCCTTTGAGACGGGGATTGATGTGATAATGTAAATCTTAACAAGATGACTTAGCTGTTCTAATTAGGAGACAAGAAACAGGAACTCTGGATAAGAGAGTGTCTGAATTTCCGATTAATCCATTCAGCAAGTACCTATTAGGTGTGAGTTTTGTGTCAGGCACTATTCTTGTGCCGGACATAGCTGTGTTCTGGGCTGTGGAGCTTCCACTCCATAGTGGCAGTCTGGAAGCATTCTCTTCAAAGGGCTTATGTTTCCTGAGCTGTGAAGTCCACTGCTGTCCTGTACACTTATGCCATTTTGTCTTCCCTCCCTGCCTGTCTACATTTTGTTCTAATGGAGACAGTCTGTTGCCATGTTCTTTAAGCTCAGAGATGCTAAATTTCTTTTTGTTTCTTTGTTTTGTTTCGGTCATGAATCCTTCTTTAAAAAATGCTCATATATCGGGATCCCTGGGTAGCGCAGCGGTTTGGTGCCTGCCTTTGGCCCGGGGCGTGATCCTGGAGACCCGGGATCAAATCCCACATCGGGCTCCCGGTGCATGGAGCCTGTTTCTCCCTCTACCTGTGTCTCTGCCTCTCTCTCTCTCTCTCTCTCTCTGTGACTATCATAAATAAATAAACAAAAATTTTTTTAAAAAATGCTCATATACACCAGATTTTGTATGTACTTCTAGTCCATCCGTGGCCAGCTTAACAACCCCTTTACCATTTAGTTCTAGTCACAGATGTGGTGCCGAGTTAGGGTTGTGGACAAAGTAAAATGTCAATTTGTGGCATCTTAATCAGCAGTTAATTTTGAATCTTTGAAGTCTGTGGAAATTGGGGAGATCTCATTTTTCTTTCGTTTTAGGATGTATCACTATGTTTGATATATAAGGCTTTCTGAGCTTAGAAATACCATGAGTCGTAGGAATAAACTTGTGTAGATAGTATTGGCTACATTAAGCAAATAAATGATGATCTTTCCTAGCATAATAATAATTATTGACCTTTTTCTCTCGAGGATTGTGAAGCTGGATATAAACTGATTTCTCAATGTTGTTGCAGGTCTCGGAGGAACATGTGTAAATGTGGGTTGCATACCTAAAAAACTGATGCACCAAGCAGCTCTGTTAGGACAAGCCCTACAGGACTCTCGGAACTATGGTTGGAGCACCGAGGAGACGGGTACGGCAGGAAAAGCTGCTTTTCCGTTTGTGCTTTTGATGGGTTTGAGCTGTGATCCTGCACTAATGCACCATCCATTTCTGTGGGACTAGAAAATGACTGGGAAGTTTTTATTGTTGACGTTTTTTATGTCTAAAATTACTGTGATTATCCTGTGTCAGGTAGCTGCATAGCTGGTATGGTAAGGACAGATACTGTACTTAGAGTGCCTTTCTGTAATAGAAAACCAGAATTTTTTAGATAAATTCTTTTTATTATTATTTTTTTAAAGTAATCTCTGTGCCCAGAGTGGAGATCAGACTCATGACCACAAGATCAAGGGTCACACTCTACTGACTGAGCTAGCCAGGTGCTTCTCAAATAAATTCTTTCTTAGGGTTTCATAAAGAGTATAAATTACATTTGCTTTCCTTGGAAATGGTTTCATTTTTCTCTCCAAAGAAATCAGTCTCATAAGCTGATAATTTGGGGGTGGGGGTGCTATTTATTTGTTGAGAAAGAGATAGTCTTTGTTGGATAAAATATTTAAAGTACCCTAGTGACCCCAGGAAAGTTGAAGAGGAATTGTTGCCTTTGGAAAGTAGATTGTATTATCTGGTTGAAGAAAAAAATGAGGCTGGCATAGCTTCATAATTAATGACATAGGTCACCATGTCCTTGAAGAGAGAAACTCCAACTGTATCTGATACAGTTATGAGATCTTATAGGGTATGGGACATTTGCTAGGGTAAATTATTTTGTAGCTTTTTCTGAATTTTAATTAAGTTTATTAAATATTGTTTTAAAAAGGCATAATAAATAAATGCTTTGAAAAATTTTGCTCCTACTCACATTAGCTATGCTTCCTTCGTTTGATGCTTTTACTTCCTGTTTAAAATCAACAGTACTTTTTTATCCAAGTTTGGAATCTTAGAAAATCAGTTACTCAAAAAATGTTTTTGTGTTGGGGTCATCTTTCTTTCCTCAGATCCTTACAAGGCTATTCTCTGTCTATGACCTTTGGGCCTTAGGCTGGTACTGAGAGTTTCATTACTTGTTTCTGAGGTGCCATGCCTTTTCTCTTGCCAACAAACAGGACAGTCACAGTGAGTCTTTTGACCTATGGAATGTGAATTTAACACATAATCTACCGATAATCCGTCCCTAATCCCATCTCTGTGCCCCTCCCCAAATTATTGTTACTCTCATGTCTGAATGTCTCCCCACTGAGTCTGCCATTAGATACACTCTTTCCCCTCCTGGAAGCCTGCTTTTAATGTACCTCTGTGAACAAGAGGTCTCCCTTCAGTTAATTATTAGACTTCTCAATAGACATTTTAAAGTGGTAAAGTTAAATAATATTGCTATTGAGTGCCCACTGTTTGCATTTGAGTCTGTCCTGGAGAGATACAGAGATGAGTAACAGCAATTGTATAGGTACACAGATTCCATAATCACTGATGTACCACTATCATCGAAGTGCAGACCATGTACCCAGGAGGCCCAGAGGTAGAATTGGTAACAGGAGTTAAGTGGCAACACACAGTCTTTGCTGGTATTCTGGGTCCCTTGAGTTAAGAGCTTCCTTCACCCCAGCCCTCCTGATATTAAAATGAGATAGCCCTTGGCACAACTTCTGACTTTGCCATTCACTGCTTGTGATGAGGATTAAGTATAGTAGTGTGGTTAAAATAGCTGCCACTCAACATACAGTTTTTATCCTTGCCTCTGGACTTGTTGCCTTTAATTCTTCCATTCATGGTTTGAATAAATTGGGTAGACTCTGCCAAGCACTTAGTTCTTTAATGTGTACAACAACATTTACAGGTACTCCAGGAAGTTGTATATTTGAACTAGTTAGTTACGCTCTTAAAAAGGACATGTAACAAGAATATTAATCTGAAAAAGTCTGGAATCTGTTGGAAAAAGTAAGATTGTTCCAAGCAAATTTTGATTTACACAGCTTTGTAATTTCCACATACTGGCATTTACAGTGAATGTGTCTGTCCCTTAAATCTAGGTAAGTAACAGGGCCAGGGAGCTATATAACTCAGTCACACAATTTTTATTCTTTCATGTAAGGATCTAATAGTCAAATTGGTATGTTGTACTAATTGATGTTAGCTTTAAGCTAATAAATTCAGTAATCAGGTGGGTGGTAAAATATTTAGTGAATCGACAGATCTTTCCAGCAGATGAATATTTCTGTATCTGTCATGTAACAATAAACATTAGCTATGCTTATTTATGTTGAATTTATTTCTGAATTGTATAATAAAGAACTAACATAGTTACTGGAGTGATAAAGAGCCACTACCAGCATAAATCCAGATCTATACCTTAAAACCAGTAAAATCTCCCTGAATTTTAATGGGATTTTAAAACTTGGCCAAATCAAAGTTGTTTGTCTTTAAAGAAATTATTTATTCAACTAAATTAACAGTTTTAATCTTGTGCTTCTTCCTCCTTTCCAGATTTAAACATTACAAATTATAATTTTCTATTTTTATACTCTCCTCTTTTATTTGCTGGCAGCACCAATCCCAAAGGGTTTGATGAAAGCCATGCCCTGTATTTAAATCCCTCTCCCTCTGCCCCTCCCTGCGTGTACACGCACACATATCCTCGCTCTCTCTCCCTTTAAAATAAATAAAGCATTAAAAAAAAAAATGAATCCTTTGAGTCAGGCACTAATGTATTAAATTTCAGTGGATAAAAAAATCAATCATTCATCCATTAATAACTTATCAATGAGGGATGCCTGGGTGGCTCAGCGGTTGAGCACCTGCCTTTGGCCCAGGCTGTGATCCTGGAGTCCCAGGTTTAAATCCTGCATCGGGCTCCCTGCGTGGAGCCTGCTTTTCTCTCTGCCTACGTCTCTCGTCTCTGCTTCTCTCTCTCTCTCTCTCTCTCTCTGTCTCTCTCTCTCTCTCATAAATAAAAATAAAATCTTTTAAAAAAATAACTTATACTCAAAAGATCTGTCATGAAAATGAGGAGTCTGAATCTTAGATTCAGGATTAATGAGCAGCTTAGCCATGGAGGAAGTGGTGAATCAAGTCTATACAACCCAAAGGCCAGCCTCTGGAACTGGGAATAACAACACAAAAATTGGTCTGTGGGACCTGAAAGAGCAAACTGTCAATACTGAATTCACATAATCATAGAATGTTAGACTTGAGATCAGTGAAAACAAACAGCGGCTACAGAAGCCACTGTGGTTGCAATGCTGAGAGGGTGAGGTGCTGGGAGGCAGGACTGGGGGACACTGAGGGAGCCCTGCCAACCTGCCCATCTGGCCTTCATCTAGCAACACTAGAAAAAGGGGCAAGATTCACTCCTGCTTTGTCCCCAAGGAATGAACAGAATAATGAGTGTAACTCAACCCCTGTGCCAATCATCTAGCTATAAAAATTACCAACATTTTGCCAATCTCATTTCATATACCCCCGTTTTTTTTTTACTAGAATATTTAGGATTTTATTTATTTGAGAGAGCACTTGTACATGTGCACAGGGGAAGGGGCAGAAAGGGAGAGGGAGAAGGAGAAGCAGATTCCCCACTGAGCATGGAGCTCAATCCCAGGACCCCACGATCATGACCTGAGCCAAAGTCAGACCTTTGAGCTTCCTAGGCATCCTTTTACTAGAATATGTTAAGTAAACCCTAAGCATTTTACTGGTGATGTGGTTGGCTATTACAGTGGTTTGGGAATGACCCAAGGGCCAGTGATGCTAAATATCCTTCACTATATATAGTTCCTTCCAATTAGAAGGTATCCAGTCCAACATGCCAATAATGCCTGCCTGGAGAAATAATGACCTAGACCACAGGCAGGATTGCCCTGAAGATGTTAAAGATTCCACAAAGTTCAGTTAGTCTGATTACTGTTGTCAAACTTAATGGTGTGGCCCAGTGGCACAACAGAAGCCCTAGATAATATGTAAATAAATGATCATAAGTGTATACGCTTGATTTAAAAAAAAAGGTGATGGTGGGCAGCCTCGGTGGCGGCGCAGCAGTTTAGCGCCGCCTGGAGCCTAGGGCGTGATCCTGGAGACCCTGGATCGAGTCCCAGGTCAGGCTTCCTGCATGGTGCCTGCTTCTCCCTCTGCCTGTGTCTCTGCACCTGTGTGTGTGTGTGTGTGTGTGTGTGTGTGTGTGTGTGTCTGAATAAATAAATAAATAATCTTAAAAAAAAAGGTGTTGGGGACGCCTAGGTGATTCAATCAGTTAAGCGTCTACCTTCAGCTCAGATCATGATCCCAAAGTCCTGGGATCAAGTCCCACATTGGGCTCCTTACTCAGTGGGGAGTCTGCCACTCCCCCTGCTTGTGCTCTCTCTCTGTCAAATAAATGAATACAATCTTTAAAAAAAAAAATGTGATGGGCTATGTTTGGCTGTGGGGCCATACTTGGCCTTTGTTTGCTGGTCTCTGGTCTAGACTCTGTTACAAGCTTAGTAACTCCAAACCTGGCTACATCAGGATCCTTTGGGGATTGTTAAAACTACAGAATCCTAGGCTTTACCACACCTCATTACCCCAACAATCAGTATTTACAATCAAAATAAATCCTGTTCATTTTTTAAAAAGTTTATGCCTGGTTATCTTAGTTTTAAGAATTGCCAGGAGGCCTTGCATGACTTAATTGTATGGTGGTCTTCTAAAAAAGAAAGAATATTTGAGCATGAAAAAGTTGTTGATGTGTTTGAAATGAAGGACCCTGCTCTTTTAGACTAAAAGCTCTGCTCTTCATATTCCATGTGAATAGTTGCTGAGAAATGATCTTTGCCAGGCAGTTGAAAAGCTAAAAGCATTTTGTCTTATCTTCTTGTGCAGTTAAACATGACTGGGATAAAATGACAGAAGCTGTACAGAACCACATTGGCTCTCTGAACTGGGGCTACCGGGTAGCTCTGCGGGAGAAAAAGGTGACCTATGAGAATGCATATGGACAGTTTGTGGGTCCTCATAGGATTAAGGTAATTGTGTGACACCCTGAGTAGCTTTTGTTTGTTTTAAACTTTGCTTGGGGGTAGGGGAGGAAAAAGAAAGTGATTATCTTAATAAAATAAAAGCCATGGTGACCCAAATTGTCCAGTTTGGTGATTTTGCAGTCACATCTTACAGGGCTTTCTTTTGTGGGGTGGTAGTGTAAGAGTCCTGGATTTGGGGCCAGATGGCCTGGATTTGAGTGTTGCTGCTTGTTAGATTTATGATTTTAAACAAATGTATTAATTACTCAGAGCCTTAACATCTTATTGGGTATTACCAGATTTTTGTGACGATCAAATTGGATAATGTGGTGAATGGCCTTTGTTAATTATAAAGTCTGCAATTCTAATGAATAATGAATGAATAATAAGTCTGCAACTTATTAAAAGTTGACATTGGTTTCTTTGCAGGCAACAAATAACAAAGGCAAAGAAAAAATTTATTCAGCAGAGAGATTTCTCATTGCTACTGGTGAGAGGCCACGTTACTTGGGAATCCCCGGTGACAGAGAGTACTGCATCAGCAGGTAAGGGACCTTGCGGGGGAAAAGAGAAACTCATTTTAGATTTATGCTTTTCAGGGTTTTTTTTTATTATTATTTTATTATTTTTTATTTTATTTTATTTTATTTTATTTATTTTATTTATTTATTTTATTTTATTTTATTTTATTTTATTTTATTTTATTTATTTATTTATTTATTTATTTATTTATTTATTTGGCTTTTTCTTCAAACCCATTCAGTCCATTTCCTAGAACTTCAAAGTATTTTGCCACATTTTTTGCCCAAAAGGGACAGGGAGTTGGGAAAAAAGCACGGGAAAAATCATTTTATGCAAGAGAACATTGAAAGAATTCAAAGCCGTAAACATTGGTCTTTTTACTACCTGGTTAACATCACTGCTGACATATAGATTTATGTTTGAAATGTATATATGTGTGAGTGTGTGTTATAAATGTATAAAACATAAAACCAGAAGAATATTCATGGGGACACTAAAACAATGACAGGATGGCAGGCCATGTAGATTTATTAAACCCTCGTCCCTCCTCATGCTGTTTGCAAGGTTATAATGTCACTGTAGGCTGGCCATCTGAAATAAGTGAGTCAGGCAAGGTTTGGCTGTGTGATTTATTTTTGCCCATCAGGTGATCGTATGGTGACATAGCAATTCACATTTGGAATTCAATCAGGAATTTTACATTATGACGAAATTATGACAGGTTGTTGATAAATACGTCCTCTTGGGTGTTTTTTGCCCAAGGAGTTTCGGATTATGTTGTAAATTATTTACTTTCGGGCCCTTTTTCGGGGCAAGGATATGATTTTTTTTTCCTTTGTGCTTCATATAGGGGCAGTTCAGATGGTAACAGTTCTCTTTGTTGTCTCGGATAGCTTCCCTTCTCATATTTTAAAAAATAATTTCCCAACAATGCCTTTGTGATCTCTCTCATGTCCTGTATATTCTTGACTAAAAGATTTTGTTGGGTTTTACCTTTTAGAGCTGGTTTTTATTTTACAAAACAGTTATGTTGCAAGTTTTCTCCAACTCTTCTCCCCACTCTTGATAATTGGTGTTCTAAATAAAAAGTAATACAGATTTTTACCTCAGAGAGAGCTAAGTGATGAGATGAGGGATGGGGGTTTGATTTGCGAAAATACGATATTAAACACATTAGTGGACAGTTATTCCAGACCGTTCAGGATTATTTTGTTTGACCACGAGCTGGGACTAACGTCAGAAATCGGGCGGTGAGCTGTTTGGCCGTGAGCAGCTTGAGCTACTCCCAAAGCAACTGAGTGGCAAGAAAGGGACAGTGTCTGAGGCCTTGCAAACACTTTCTATGTATTATGTGTGTAGCTAATTGAATGTTTTTAATATTAAAAGTGTATCATCCTTAAGAAACCAAAAATTTTACTTTCATTTAGTCATTATTCACATACGACCATTTTCAATTTCTTTTTTTCCTTTCTTTTCTTTTCTTTTTTTTTTTTTTTTTTAATTTCCTTTCAGTGATGATCTTTTTTCCTTACCTTATTGCCCGGGTAAGACCCTGGTGGTTGGAGCATCCTATGTTGCCCTGGAATGTGCTGGATTTCTTGCTGGCATTGGTTTAGATGTTACTGTTATGGTACGATCCATTCTCCTTAGAGGATTTGACCAGGACATGGCCAACAAAATTGGTGAACATATGGAAGAACATGGTGTCAAGTTTATAAGACAGTTTGTACCAATAAAAGTAAGTGGAGTTGCTGGTAGGTTTATTGTTTCTATACTTAGGTTTAAAAGGCAGGAGAGAAAGCATTGGGGTGGGTGATGGGAGCTGTCTTTCATTATAAACCGTTAGCCTCACCTGTGATATTTTATTTATTTGGCAGCACAAGCTGGGGGACAGGCAAAGGGAGGGGGAGAAGCAGGCTTCCCACTGAGCAGGGATCCCAGTGTGGGGCTTGATCCCAGAACCCCGGGATCATGACCTGAGCCTAAGGCAGATGCTCAACCCCTGAGCCACCCAGGCACCCCAACAGCTTTGTTCTTGTCTGCAGATTAATAATTAATAATAATACTGTCCTCTCAACTTTCTTACCTTGGGTTCCCTTTTTTTTTTTTTTTAATGCTTCTCTTTGGACATCCCTTTACTTTATAATTACTAGAGTTTTTTTAAGGAGTGGAGGTAGATATCCTATGTTTGCACTAGGACTGTGATTAGAAAACAACAGCTGGATGTACATGTTGCCTGATAGAAGAGTAACCTATTCCTATAATGTCTTTTTTTTTAATTCCAGTGTAGTTAACATGCAGTGTTATATTAGTTTCAAGTGTGCAATATAGTCATTCAGCAACATGTTAGTGCTCATCATGATAAGTGCCCTCCTTAATCCCTATCACCTATTTCACTCATCCCCCCGCCCCAGCCTGCCCTCTGGGAACCATCTATTCTCTAATAAGAGTTGGTTGTTTTGATTTGTCTCTTTTGTTGTTCATTTGTTTTCTTTCTTTAACTCCACATGTGAATGAAATCATAGGTTTTTTTGTCTTTCTCTGACTTATTTTGCTTAGCATTATACTCTCTAGTTCCATCCATGTTGTTGCAAATGGCAAGATTTCATCCTTTTTTATGGCTAATATCCCATTGTTTGTATAAACCACATCTTTATTCATCTATTGATGGATGCTTGGGCTGCTTCTGTAATTTGGCTATTGTAGATAATACTGCAGTGAACATAACAGTACATTTATCCTTTCAAATTAATGTTTTTATATCTTTTGGGTAAATACCTGATAGTGCAATTGCTGGATCATATGGTAGTTCTATTTTTAATTTTTAAATTTTTTTAAATTTTTATTTTTTTTTAAAGATTTTATTTATTTATTCACGAGAGACACACAGAGAGAGTCTAGGCAGAGACACAGGCAGAGGGAGAAGCAGGCTCCATGCAGGGAGCCCAATGTGGGACTCGATCCTGGGTCTCCAGGATCATGCCCTGGCCTGAAGGCGGCACTAATCTGCTGAGCCACCCAGCTGCCCTATTTTTAATTAAAAAAAAGAAAAGATTTTATTTATTCTAGAGAGAGTGTGTACGCATGAATGGAGGGAGTGGCAGAGAGGGATGGAGAGGGTTAAGCAGATTTGCACAGAGTACAGAGCCCACTGTGAAGCTTGATCCCAGGACTTTGAGATCATGACCTGAGCTGAAACCAAGGGGTGGATGCCTGACTGAGTCATCCAGATACCCTTGTATTTCTAAATTTTTTAAAAGATTTTATTTAGGGTGACTAGGTGATGGGCGTTGAGGGGGACACTTGACAGGATGAGCACTAGGTGTTAAAAACTATATGTTGGCAAATCGAACTTCAATAAAAAATATGTTAAAAATAATAATTAAAAAATTAAGATATTATTTGTTCATGCGAGTCACAGAGAGACAGGCAGAGACATAGGCAGAGGGAGAAGCAGGGTCAGTGCAGGGAACCCGATGTGGGACCCCGGGATCACACCCTGAGCCAAAAGCATACACTCAACCACTGAGTCTCCCAGGCATCCCTATTTTTTAAGGAACCTCCATATTGTCTTCCACAGTGGCTATGCCAGTTTGCATTCCCACCAACAGTGTGCAAGCGTTCCTGTTTCTCCACATCCATGCCAATACTTGCTATTTTTTGTGTTTTTTATTTTAGCTGTCTGACAGATGTGAAGTGATACCTCATTGTGTTTTTTAAAAAATTTTATTTATTTTAGAGAGAAAATGAGTGGGCGTTAAGGAGCAGAGAGAGAGGGAAAAGCAGACTCCCCGTGGAGCAGGCAACTTGATGAGGGGTTCAGTCCCAGGACCCAGGCATCATAACCTGAGCTAAAGGGCAGATGAATTTTTTTTTTCATGTTTGTTAAAGTAATTTATTTATTTATTTTTAACTGGAGTTCAATTTGCCAACATATACCATAACACCCAGTGCTCATCCCATCAAGTCCCCCCCTCAGTGCCCGTCACCCAGTCACCCCCCACCCCCTGCCCACCTCCCTTTCCACCACCCCTTGTTCATTTCCCAGAGTTAGGAGTCTCTCATGTTCTGTCTCCCTCTCTGATATTTCCCACTCATTTTCTCTCCTTTCCCCTTTATTCCCTTTCACTATTTTTTATATTCCCCAAATGAACGAGACCATGTAATGTTTGTCCTTCTCCAATTGACTTATTTCACTCAGCATAATACCCTCCAGTTCCATCCATGTCGAAGCAAATTGTGGATATTTGCTGTTTCTAATGGCTGAGTAATATTCCATTTTATACATATACCACATCTTCTTTATCCATTCATCTTTCAATGGACACTGAGGCTCCTTCCACATTTTGGCTATTGTGGACATTGCTGCTAGAAACATCAGGATGCAGGTGTCCCAGTGTTTCACTGCATCAGTATCTTTGGGGTAAATCCCCAGCAGTGTAAATAAAGGCAGATGCTTAACTGACTGAACCACCTGGGCGCGCCTCCTCCTCATTGTGGTTTTGATAATGCATTTTCCTGATGATGAATATTGTTGACAATCTTTTCATGTGTCTGTTGGCTCTCTGGATGCCTTTGGAGATGCCTTTCTGTTTATGTCTTCTCCCCCCCCCCCCTTTTTTTTTTAAGCTCCGTTGGGCTTAAATTCATGACTCTGAGATCAAGATCTGGTTTGAGATCAGAAGTCAGATGCTTAGCTAACTGAGCCACTCAGGTGCCCACTTTTTAATTGGATTATTTGGTTTTTTGGTGTTGAGTTGTATAAATTTTTTTATATAAATTCTTTATATGTTTTGGATGTTAACCCTTTATCAGATATGTCATTTGCAAATCTCATCTCTCATTCTACAGAAGTAGAAAGTATTCTCTTATACTTTTGTTGATTGTTTCCTTCGCTTTGCAAGAGCTTTTTATTTTGATGTAATCCCAATAGTTCATTTTTGCTTTTTTTTTTTCCCCTTGCCTGAGGAGACCTATCTAGAAAATTGTTGCTAAGGCCAATGTCAGAGAAGTTATTGCCTGTGTTGTCTTCTAGGATTTTTATGGTTTCAGGTCTCAACATTTAGGTCCTTAATCCATTTTGAGTTTATTTTTGTGTGTGGTGTAAGGAAGTGGGCAAGTTTTCTTTTCTTTTCTTTTCTTTTCTTTTCTTTTCTTTTCTTTTCTTTTCTTTCTTTTCTTTTTCTTTTTTGCATGAAACTGTCTAGTTTTCCTCAAACCATTTGTTGAAGAGACTGTCTTTTTTCCATTGCATATTCTTTCCTTCTCTGTTGAAGATTAATTGACCATTCCTTTATAATGTTTTAACATTTAGAGAGTTGTGAGCACCTTGAGAATCTTGTGGACTATCCCCTAGTAAAATAAATATGTGCACATAACATTTTACTGAGTTACCAGGGTCTCTTTTTTCTCTCCCAATTTTCTCTTTGAATTTTACTCTGTTTGGGAACTATTTGAAAGAAAGCCCCTCTAGCAAACAAACAATAGAAAGAAGGGGATAAAATAGAAAAATCTCTTATTATCCTCATGATGTTAAGGTGAGGGAGATGAGACATGAAAGACCTTTCGAGCCAGATTTTGTGTTTTAACTTTGGGTTGACCTGATAGAAAAGGCTTGGTACATGTCCTTATTGTGGAGTAAGTGAAACTTTATTACTTTTATAGGTTGAACAAATTGAAGCAGGGACACCAGGCCGACTCAGGGTGGTAGCTCAGTCCACCAGTAGTAGCGAAACCATTGAAGGAGAGTATAATACGGTAAGGAGAGGACCCAGGTCATTATTCATTAGAAAGCAGATAATGTGCTTATTGGTTATTTGCTGGGTATATACAATGGCTGCTTGCTATTTCCAAAACCCTTGATTATATTCCCATTCTAAGACATTGTTATTGCTTGTGGTATTACAATTTGTTTTAGTATAGGGATGGCTTCAGATTTTCTTTAATCTAACTTTAAAACATCATTTGTCAAAGAGCTGAAAAGGACATCCAACTTTTAAAATGAGCTAGAACTTCTCTGTCCTTAAAAATTTTAATTTCTCTAGCTCACTACTTAAAAAAAAAGTAGTTCAGTCATAGGCTATGCTTTCTTTGTCCCTAAACTTGGCTAGATTTATAAAGGAATTGTTAACTTTCTTTTTCTTAATAAATGGATAAGGATTTCTACTGTATCCTATTCAATGGCTATATATATATTTTTTTAAGATTTTAATTTGTTTAAACTCTTGCAGTATTTTCTTAGTGAAGTATTTCTTTCCAGGTCTGGAAAATGCAATGAGATTGGCTTAATGATTAAGTAACTTATATGCAACCTTTTGGTAACAGTCACTGATATATTAATAATTTTTCAGGTATTGCTGGCAATAGGAAGAGATGCTTGCACAAGAAAAATTGGCTTAGAAACCGTGGGAGTAAAAATAAATGAAAAGTAAGAAAAAAATTTATTATGTCTTACTGAATTAGTGTTCCAGTTATTTTATAATACTGATTAATAGTGAAGTTTTAGATTTTTAGTTAGTTGTCATTATATTGGAGAAAACTCTCAGTGCTATTCACAGTAGTATTTTCTGTTTTTACTTCTTTCCCCTTTTCAGAATCTAAATGGAAGATAGAACAGCTTGCATTTTGTTTCTTTAATGTTTAGGGTACAGAAAAAGAATCTAACCCCACAGTTAATTGCAGGTGTGTGCTTTGAGCCTCATTAAATATATAAATTTAGGATGATGAGTGGTCACTGTATTTCTAGTGACAGCTACAAGTATCAAAAACTTTTCAAGGTTAAAAGTTAAAACGTTCTGGACTGTAGCACTAGTTGAGATAACTGACCTGCGTGGTATCTGCTTATCTGCTGCCTGAGGCTGTTTTCCAATATCCCCTTCCTTAAACCAAGTAAAAACAAGCACTGTGAATGCCACATGTCTGGGAAACTAAAAATGCAGGTTACTTTCCCTTTTACTGGAATAATCTTATCTTCTAGAGAAGAGACTTCCCTGCTCTGATTGTGAGGATTTTTGTTTTATTCATTTTTTACTAGGGTGAATGAAGAGACAGTTGTTAAGGAGGTCATCAGTAAGGTTTAGCAGACCAAATGTTCCATCAGCTTAATAAACCTGCTAGCCTGTTTCCAGTGGGTCCAAGGCTAAGATTTTGTGTTATGTTAACAGCTAACACTTACTCTGCACTTACTACGAGCCATGGCCTTTTGTGCTAAATATTTTGTACACATTTTCATTCAATCCTCACTGCCACTTAAAGTAGAAGATGGTATCCTTTTCCTTCTTACTGGTATTCCCAGTATTATGGTTCCCATTCCCAATACGTGGTTCCCATTTTCCCCTGGGAGAATGAAGCTTAGTGACATTAAATAGCCTTCCCAGCATCATAGAGGTGATAACTAACAGACCTGATTATTACAGTTTAGAATCTTTATATTCTTTTTTTGTTTGTTTTATTTAGTTAGGTAATCTCTACACCCAACGTGGGGCTCACACTCAGAACCCTGAGATCAAGAATTGCACATTCCTCCCACCAAGCTAGCCAGGCACCCCTAGTATCCACCTGCATGTTTTTAACCACTGTTGAAACCCCCCAGAGTTTCTTACGCTTTTCTTATTCCAGAATTGTCTCTAAGCTTTTTAAGAATTTTAAAAAAATTTTTATTTTATTTTTTTATTTTTATTTATTTTTTTTTTTTAAGAGAAGAAGAGTGCTTGGGGCATGGGGGAGAAGCAGAGGGCAAGAGAGAATCTTTAGCAGGCTCCACATTCAGTGCAGAGCCTGATACAGGGCTTGATCCCACAACCCTGAGATCATGACTTGAGCTGAAATCAAGAGTCAGATGCTTAACTGAGCAATCCAGTTGCCCCTGACGTATGTATTTTTAAGTTAATGCATTAGAATATTGGCCTTAGCTAGAATCACAGTTTTGGGCTTCTTTGGGAGAAAGGAGATTTTGTTTTACTTAATAGTGGTAATTAATAATTTTAACTGAATGAATTTTCAGGACTGGAAAAATACCTGTCACAGATGAAGAGCAGACCAATGTGCCTTACATCTATGCCATTGGTGATATATTGGAGGGGAAGCTGGAGCTCACCCCAGTAGCAATCCAGGCAGGAAGATTGTTGGCTCAGAGGCTTTATGCTGGCTCCAATGTGAAGGTGAGTTGTAGCTGACACCTATTGATACTGTTTTTTGTTTTTGTTTTTTTAATATTTATGTATTTATTAGAGAGGGGAAGAGAGAATCCCAAGCCAACTCTGTTGAGTGTGGAGTCCTGTACAAGGGCTCAGTTCTATGATCCATGAGATCACTATCTGAGCCAAAACCAAGAGTCGGACACTTAACCTACTGAGCCACTCAGGCACCCCGCCTATTGAGACTGTTTTTAATAATGCTCCCAGTTCTCTAATTAGGGATAGCTGTGAAGTTTTCCAGGTCTTTTTTTTTTTTTTAAAGATTTTATTTATTCATGAGAAACCCAGAGAGAGGCAGAGGCAGAGACATAGGCAGAGGAAGAAGCAGGTTCCTTGGAGAGCCCAATGCAGGACTTGATCCCGGGACTCTGGGATCACAACCTGAGCCCTAGGCAGATGCTCAACCACTGAGCCACCCAGATGTCCCAAGTTTTCCAGGTCTTGAATAATTTAGCTATCTGCTGACAGCATCTTAGATGTGCTTTATTAACTGTATTCAAAACAAGACTTTGTTAAGACTACTGTTCTTTTTTTACTTTATTAGGAAAATTGTCATTCTTGGAATCACACTAGGAATAAAATGAGCTTGATTAATCAAGTTTCAGCTCTATTATGTTTCATAGATGCCTAATAGTTGCATTTTACATTAATTTCATTATTACCCATTTTAGTATAATTTTCTGAATCTTTCTATGGCACCCATCTAGGCTATAAAAGGATTTGAGGATGTAGGTAATAATGTCATTGTACAGAGCTGCTTAAACAGATACTTAGGCTTTTATTACCTTGTCCTTTCTAAAAATATGTCTTCTGCTCTTGGAATGTTTAATGTGTTATATTAATGTTTTCAGTTTTTTTTAAGTCAGTGTATGAAATTGAAACTTTTAGGTATGTTTCATAGGACTAGATGGCAAATATTATAAATGTACTGTAATTTTTTAAGACAAATTTTACAGCAGTTACAGGTTCACAGCAAAATTGAAAGGAAGGTACCAGGATTTCCCATATATTATTCCCTGCACTCATACATTCATAGCCTTCCCCATCATCAGCATTTCCTCCCTAATTGATTATTTGAAAGGATTCTAGGAACATTGATTGTAAAGAACTTAGTCATTACTCATTTTCCTGGCACATAAATCACCATGGGTTGATCTGGGTTGGTTATAGTAATGGAAACTTCAAAGAATACAGCTAGTAAAATTTATGACAGGCATTTCGAATGTACCTGGGATTAGTTTGGATAGTGGCATAATAAGATCTTCTATCTTGAAATTAATAGGATTTAGACTAAAAAGGATTTGAATTCCAGATTGTCTGAACATCCAGGGCATAGTAGCTGATTCTTATTACTATTTGGGATAAATTTAACTACTTACTGGAATGAGTTATGTCTTGTATTGTTGCAGTTATTGAGTATCTGGTAAACCAAGAAAAGGGGACCTGGAAATACAGCTTGAGATGCATTGAATTTGTTCCTGACCTTATATCTTTGTGTTTTCCTAAAATGGAGGTATTTTTGTATACCAACAATAACCAAAGAAGACATGTGCAAAAATTTGCTCCTAAACAAATTTGAAATTAAGTAGCACAAAATTCTATTTATTTATTTATTTATTTATTTATTTATTTATTTATTTATTTATTTATTAATTAATTATAGTCACAGAGAGAGAGAGAGGCAGAGACACAGGCAGAGGGAGAAGCAGGCTCCATGCACCGGGAGCCCGACGTGGGACTCGATCCCGGGTCTCCAGGATCGCGCCCTGGGCCAAAGGCAGGCACCAAACCGCTGCGCCACCCAGGGATCCCCAGTAGCACAAAATTCTTAAAAAAAACTTTAATTCTTAAAAAACCTTTCTTTGCACCTACTTTTATGTGACCTTCCATGTGTTGGCATGGTACTGTATTCTATTCTCTCCTAGGTAGAGCCAATTTTCTTAAAGTGCCTTAAGCTTTTAGCAACATTAGAGTTTAATGTAGGTTGAAATTAAAGGACTCTTTTTTATTCTGTTTTATCTTTTTTTCCTTATTTTTAGTCTAACCATAATAATAAGACAAATACTTTACTGAACAAGAAAATAAACAGATGCAGATGCGCTCTGATCTCTGAGTTTGAAGTCTCCCTGGTCTGTCCTTCAATATAATAAATAAAGTCAAAATGCCAGTAGATATCTAGGTTAAATGTATTTGGGGAAATCACACACTTTTAAAGCAACTGCATAATTTTGTTCCCTTTCATTTTGCCCAACATATGTTAATGAGAGCATTATCACATATTATCTAAGAAGGTGAGAGGATCCATGACTTCCTTCCTTCTAAGGGAGCAGCTCTATTGAAAAGTTTAGTTTAACATCAACACCTAGCTGTGTTTCAATCCATTATGGGATTTTAAGGGAGCTCAAATTGAATCGTGGGTGTTGGTGCCTTCCTCCAAAATTGCTATCATCTATTCCTTATTGCTTCACAAGAGTGTTGGGAGGAAAAAGAGATAATGCTACATGTGAGTGCTTGTGCCATGCTTGACATTGCGCTAAGGGGCTTTGTACACCTTATCTCATTCAGCCTCAGGGCAGTTGTGGAGATTGATGACAAAGTACAGGGAAATTAGGTAACTGCGTGAGGTCAGGAGGCTAGGAGGCAGCCAAGGCATAAAAATGAAGTCCATTTCTGATTGTAGGTACTACTCTCTTAATCACAACGATTTATTGCCTAAGAAAGAAGATCTAAGACATATAGATTATAGGAAAATAGGGGGTGGAATAGGAAAGATATCTCCATACTTAAAGAATCTACCAATTTGCAAAAATTTCTGTAACAAATATAATTTTCCTAAATAAAATGAAGCAGAAAATATATAGGGAAAATTTGTATGACCCTTTTTAGCACTTAATAATTAAACTTTCGGGCAGCCCTGGTGGCTCAGCGGTTTAGAGCCACCAACGGCCCAGGGCGATCCTTGGAGACCCAGGATCGAATCCCATGTCAGGCTCCCTGCATGGAGCCTGCTTCTCCCTCTCCCTGTGTCTCTGCCTCTCTCCTCTCTCTCCTCTCTGTGTATTCTCATGAATAAATAAATTAAATCTTTAAAAAAAAATACTTAAACTTTCAAAACTTAAAAATATTTGCCATTAAACTATTCCATTCTTTTGGAAACAAAATGAAGGAATGAAAAAAAAAGTTGCTCTCAAACACTTGAAATACTTCGTTTTTACAAAGAGTAAACACTAGCATCTTTATTATTAAGGAGGTACTTTTTGTTAACTGAGTATTATAGTATATATAAAATATTTTAGGGGTGCCTGGCTGGCTCAGTCTGTAGCGTGTCCAATTCTTGATCTCAGAGTTGTGAGTTCAAGTCTCATATTGAGTGTAAAGCCTACTTAAAATGTGTATATGTGTATGTATATATGTGTGTGTGTGTGTATGTGCATGTATTTTATGTGAAAACCATAGAGAAACTGCAGGACACATATCTTCAACTTCAGAATGTGCATTCTAAAAGTGCATTAAGCTGATGTTGTGAAAACTGCGAAGTGTGTTCTCCAAATGGAAGTGATAGAAACAAGGGTTACATTTTCCAGGCTAGGCCACACAGTCCACTTTAAGTCCATAGGAACCTGCATTTTGGAACCGGGGACAAACCTGTCTTTTTTTTTTTTTCTTCTTTTTTTTTTTTGACAAACCTGTCTTTTATGTAGATACTGATTTCCATTTGATACACTGTTTTCTGCTTAAAGAATTTCCTTTAATAGTTATTTAGTGTGTGTCTGCTCTTGGTGGATTCCTTTTCTACTCTTTGTTGTTTGTTTTTTTAGATTCATTTTGCCTCCAATTTTTGGGAAGGTATTTTTGCTGAATATAGAGTCCTAGATTTACTGTGTTTCTTTAAATATTTTAGTGATTTGCCTATTATCTTGATCACAAAGATTCTGAACACAAGTATGCTGTCATTTTTATCTTTGTTCTTCATAAGATTGCCTTTTATCACAGTGTTTTAGCAATTACTGCTAAATTACTGTGTGCCTTGGCATGCTTTTTATTATTATTATTCTGCTTATGGTTTGTCAAGATTCTTGGACTTCTGTTTCTCCTTTTCATCAGATTTGGAAAGTTTTTAGCCATTCGTTTTTTTTTTTCTGTCTTCCCCCTTCCCTTTTTCCCCCTCAGCCTCCAGTTAATGAATGTTGGTTCACTCAGTGTTATCCTGAGTGTCTAATGCTCTTTTCATATTCTTCCCCCTCTGTTTCTGTCCTGTGTTTTTTTCAAGGACCTGTTGTGATGTCTTCAAGTTGACTATCTTCTGCACTGTCTTAGGCTATTAATTCCAGATTGTGTAGTTTGCACTTCAAATAGTTTTTTCATCTCTACAAGTTTTATTTACCTAAGATGTTCTCAAGGCACCTGGGTGACTCAGTGGTGAGTTTCTGCCTCTGGCTCAGGTTGTGACCCTGGGGTCTTGGGATTGAGTCCTGCATTGGGCTCCCTGTGAGGAGCCTGCTTCTCCCTCTGCCTGTGTCTCTGCCACTGTGTGACTGTCTCTCATGAATAAATACATAAAATCTTTTAAAAAATAAATGTTTTTGTTTTCTCTCCTCAACGGGTTCATGTCTTTATTTACTTGACTATACAGAACATGTTTATAATATGCTCATTTCATGTCTTCTGATAATTCCATCATCTCATTTTTTTTTTCATCATCCCATTTTTAGTGTCTGTTTCTATTCATTGATTTTTCTCTCGTTATTGGCTCACATGTTCTTGCTCCTTTGCATTTCTCGTTATTTTGGATGGATGTGGACATTGTACATTTTACTCTGTTGGGTGCTGGGTTTTATTGAATTCCTTTATACAGTGTTGGATTTTGTTCTGGCAGCCCGTTAAGTTACATGGAATTAGTTTTATCCTTTTGTAACTTGCTTTTAAGCTTTTTTTAGGGTCTGCAAGTAGCCACCTTCTATCTAGGGCTGATTTAATTCCACTCCTAACTCCTGCCTTTTGGAGGACTCTACCCTATTCCTCCTTATGAGTTCTTTCTACTCTGGCTTGAGGAAACAGGAGCTATTCCCAGTCCTATAAGAGTTCTGGTCATTTGGGGGCCTGCTGCTTTCTGCTTTCCAGTAGCTCTTTCCTCACCCTTGAGGACCACCGATGACACATTTATGGATCAGTTCTCAGCCCCATTCTTTGCAGATCTCAAGAGTTCGTCCCACTCTACCCTCAGGTGCTCTGCCCTGCAGCCCTAAGCCTAAACTGTGGTCTCTATCTCCATAACTAAGAAAGATTGCTGTGCTCTGTTTGTGTTCCCTCTTCTTGCACCAATCCTTAGTGCTCTGGACAGTAATTGAGAAATCACTGGGCTCACCTCATTTGTTTCCCTTCTGTCCGGAATCACACATCCTTCACTGCCTGTTGTCCAGGGTCTGCAAGTGGTGGCTGCTGTTTGTCTGGTTTTCTCCTTGTTGAAAACAGGAAGGGACATCTGGTCCCTGATACACCATTATGGCTGTCTGTCGATGTCTACCTATACTTTTGATTCATAATTCTAAGAGTTTATGTTCTTTTTAAAGAAAAAGGATTATATTGTTTCTAGAGGGAGACTGTTTTAAAGGGGAATTGAATATCTGATATTTTATTTTATTTATTTTTTAATATCTGATATTTTAAATGCAAAATGTTACTTAGGCTCACCTCTGTGTACAAATGTGATTTGGTAGGTTTTTACCAAATCATTTGTAAACATGTTTGGTATTTGCATAATATCTTTTCTACAATTCACATCAGTATACTGGAGGCTCTGAGAAATCCATAGTAGAGAAACCTGTTTATTTAGTGTTTCACAAAATTGTTTGACTTCAGAATCCTTTTGTCATCTCTACTATTAACATCATAAAATATGCTTTGGAAATACCATCATTAACTTTTTTTTGTTTCTGTGGTCTTCCACTTTAGTGGCTGTATAATACTACACTGAGAGTATATACTATAGAATCACTCTCCTGTTTGCTATTTATAACCACTCAGTATATTGCCCCTGCAGCAATGCTCAATGCCTGTCACTTTTTCCATATAATAAATTAAGATTTCTAAGGGTGGGGTTCTTGACACAAAGATAAAGAATGTATTTATGGCTCTTACTAGGTATTACCTAATTGATTTTCCAAAGAAGTCTATTAATTTCTGTCACCTGTGTGAGACTATCAGCATTGAATACACTTGTATTGTTTTTGGCTGCTTTATAAAGGGAGAAAAAGTGTGTCCTTGTTGTTAACATCAGTTAGTAGATCGATGGAGAAGGCACATGAATCTATTTATACCTGGTCTTGACAGACTTCAGACCTCTTAAAAGTGCCACATGAGTTAATGGTTCTCAGAGAAGTGGGTTTATATCTGGTGTTGTGACTTCCCATACTTTTCATAGAAATTTATTAGTCTGCTTTCCCCTTCTGATTTTTTTTAAGATTTTTTAAAATTTGTTTATTCATAACAGAGAGAGAGAGAGAGGCAGAGACCCAGGCAGAGAGGAGAAGTAAGCTTCATGCAGGTAGCCTGACGTGGGATTTGATCCTGGATCTCCAGGATCACACCCTGGGCTGAAGGCACTAAACCGCTGAACCACCAGGGCTGCCCTCCCCTCCTGATTTTAAACTTTTTTGACATATTCTTTTTAGAGTTATAATTTCTCCAGTCTTTAACCTTCCATTTTGAAACAGTGTGATTATGAAAATGTTCCAACAACCGTGTTTACTCCTTTGGAATATGGTGCCTGTGGTCTTTCTGAGGAGAGAGCTGTGGAGAAATTCGGGGAAGAAAATATTGAGGTAAGTTATATTCTTTATGCCTATGTTAAGTTATACTGCTCTTTTGTTCAAAATTAAAAGTAATTTCAAGCACATAGAAAAGGTGAAAAATTATACAAAGACCTTTCTGTATACCTATAATCCAGATTCATGTATTGCCATTTGTTTTATACTTTTCATATTTTCTTTTCTCTCTCTGTATCTGTATTTTTTCCCCGTACCTTTTGAAAGAGGATGAAATGCGCCTTTACTACTAAATTCTTCAGTGTGTGTTTCCTGCGAACAGGGTATTTCTTAACTACATTATAGTCACCACTTTTCAGAAGTTTAATGTTGATACAATACTTGGATATGACCTACCTTCTGTTTTTCAGTCTTGTCAGCTGACTCAGGAATACTTCCTTCTACTTTTTGAAACCACTTTTACTGGTTCCTTTTATTATTAAAATAATATTGTCGGAATTATGGAAAATACAAAGAAGAAAACTAAAAATTAACTCCATTTCTACGACTCTGTTAGTAATAGTCGGGGTTTTTTGTACCATTACCCTCTTCTAACTTTGCTATAATCTAGGAACAGGCACCTGAAAGATGTTTTGGGAACAGGATGCTACCCCAGGGACTGCTGCTTTAAATTGTTCAGGAAAAAAGTTTCTAGTAAAACCTTCCAGAAGACCAGATTTGTAAATCAGAGTAAATTTTATTATATAAAAACCTATTTTAAATCTCTTAATTTTTTCTTACTATATACATTAGTGGTAGTATGTAATATCTTGGTCTATTTGTACCACATTAGTAGCATTTTCTGATTGCAAAAATAGTATCTCCTCATTCTAGGACTTTTGAAAAATTAGGAAAATATAAAAAAGGAAATTGTAATTCATGAAGCAAAAACTGTTATTAATATTTTGGCATATTTCCTTCTAGTTTCTTTCCAAGTTATTTACATGTTTATATTATTGTATACTTGTATATATACATTGTGTGTATTGTATAATTGTAGGTACATGTGTCTTAATTTAAGTATGATTAAGTTATTGCAGTTTTCTCTTTTACAGTTAATGTTAGGTCATGAGCATTTCACCCTAAACCCAGCATTTTAAAAAATGACTTATGTTTTTTTGGATGCTCTAAAATAATTTGATAAGCCATACTTTTATTAGATTGTTCATAGTTTTTCACTTTTACAAATAGAACAATGAACATCTTCATAATTCACTGTATTTCTCTGGTTATTTTCTGACAATAGAGTCCTATCAAAAGAGTCTTATGTTTTAAGGTTCTTAGTATATATTTCATATTTCTTGACAGGCTTTGGCTTTCATTTTATGAAATTTGCATTTTTCATTTAAAAGTAATGCATTTGGGTTGCAGTTTTGAAAATGGAAGTAGGAAACAATTATCCATAGACTTATGTCTGTAACATAGCAATTCTTAGCAATTTGGGATAATTTCTTTAATATCTTTTCCCTATGTAATTGTTGTGATACTATAACATTATATATTCAATTTTATAACCCACATTTAAAAAAAATTCACATTGTATTATAACATCAAAGAACACTTATTATAATGGCTACATAATCCATATTTTTTTAAAAGGTAGCCAGCCATGTATGTTTTCAATTGAGGCTAGCAGCTGGAGGTGGAAATAAATCCCTGTAGTCACCCAGGTTTAAGTTCATGAAGCATCAGTAAAGATATCTGTGTCCTTCCACCTCTCATCTTCCCTCCATCTCTCCCTCTTCCTCCTCTTCATTACTTTTGGTGAAAAATACCAAAGGAAGAAATTTCTTTGGAAGCATTAAGCAAGGAACTGGGTAATTGCTATAATTGTTTGTGGCACCTTATTTATTTTTTGCCCAAAGTTGTCATTCAAGATGCAAGATAGTGTTGGGTTCTTTCTTTCTTTCTTTCTTTCTTTCTTTCTTTCTTTCTTTCTTTCTTTCTTTCTTTCTTTCTTCTTCTTCCTTCCTTCCTTCCTTCCTTCCTTCCTTCCTTCCTCTTTTCTTTCTTTTCTTTTCTTTTCTTTTTTCTTTTCTTTCTTTTCTTTTCTTTTTTAATGTAAGACAGCAAGTAATCACCTGGTTTCTTTCTCTCATTTGCTTGCTTTTTGTTGTTATTATTACCTAAGGTTTACTGTTCTGAGGTTGAGATGTAATTAAGGGAAGGAGCTTATAGCAAAGGGGCCTGACAACAAGTGTAAGGTCATTTACCTTCTGACCAAATTTCCTATTTATTCCATGAATTTTATTGTTTCATGAAAGTCTGAGTATCAAAAGAGCCTTCAGTGTTTTCAAATCACAGCTGGTGTTTGACAAACAGACTTCTTAAGATAATGGGCCTAAATTGTGTATCTTCTCAGGTTTATCATAGTTACTTCTGGCCATTGGAGTGGACAATTCCCTCAAGAGATAATAACAAATGTTACGCAAAAGTAATCTGTAACATCAAAGATAATGTAAGTGAAATCCTCATTGAATCCTTTTTTCAGTAATTAAGTTTTTAATATATAGTTCTATTTTGATCACATGATGTACCTCACATTCCTTTAGTGTTTTATTGTTGGTCTTCCCAGCCATGTGGACACTGAGGGCAAGGACCATGGTGACACTGCTTGATCTCTACTCAGGGTCACTGTCACAGGGCCCCGCACGTGGTCGCAGGTCCACAAGACCTCGCCGAGCAAAGACCACAGAGACAGCTTGAGAACTGTTTACACTTGTGTTTGCGAAAGGGAAGCAATGAAGTCAGTGACTATCTAGAAATAATGAAAAATAAAAGGAGTAACACATGTTTGTATCCTAGGCAGCTGGCACTAATGAGAAAGGTGTAATAGGAGGAGCTCTTAATTGGGTTCTGATTGAAGATTTCATTGCCAGCTCCTACGTGTAACAACTGGTAACTGAAAGCCTGTGGGCAAACTCCTTCACCTCACAGTTTTGTTTCCATACCCACAAAATGATTGAATACATGGTTGGTTTTCTTTTTTAGCTACTGTCCTCATTTTATATTGTGATTCAGAATGTATATATCTTTGCACATATGCTTACGGATTAAATCTGATGAGAACTGGTATTTTTAACTTAGTTGGGATCTTACCTTAAAAAAGAAAAAAAAGACCTAAGTAAAAATGTAAATGGTGCTGAAGAATCCATACTTTTCTTATTTGGAGGGTTTGAATAAAATTAAGCCATGTATCCTACTAAGAAACTCCTGCCTCCGGTAGTAGTAGAGGAAAACCTGCGCTGTCTACAGGAATGGTGATCCTAGATGCATCTAGATGCATTTAATAAATGAGGATACTAGGATACAGTTGGCATAAAGAATGATTTTATGCAGTTTTTCCTTTGCAGACATGTTTTATTACTAAAAGTGTTTGCGTATACAATAGTTCTCATGCTGCTGTAGACAAAAGGAGACAATGTCTGAGGTTGTCACTAGCAGTCTGATAACTGCCTCCAACAAGAAGTAGTTCAGTTGCATGTTGCATGTAGCAATGAAACCTCCACATTTTCCTTCAGACCAAGCAAATCTTCTTTAACTGTGTTTTTTTTTCCCACTGTTGTGTCATGTGTTCAAATAACACTTTTTAAATAAAATATGAAGAGTAGGGATCCCTGGGTGGCGCAGCGGTTTGGCACCTGCCTTTGGCCCAGGTGCGATCCTGAAGACCCAGGATCGAATCCCACATCAGGCTCCCGGTGCATGGAGCCTGTTTCTCCCTCTGCCTGTGTCTCTGCCTCTCTCTCTCTCTCTCTCTCTCTCTCTCTCTCTCTATCATAAATAAATTTTAAAAATTTTTAAAAAATTATGAAGAGTAGTTTTCACTATTAATGAGCCCATCTTAATTAAAATAGTTGAGGCCTTAAGGAGGATGATACTGTTTTTAATTATTTTCACAAAGAGTGTATTAGAAAAAATGAATACTTGTCATTGTTCTTTTGTCATGAGCAGTCTCTTTTTTTTTAAGATTTTATTTATTTATTCATGAAAGAGGCAGAGAGAGATGCAGGCTCCCTACAGGGAGCTTGATGTGGGACTCAATCCCAGGACTACAGGATCAAGCCCTGAGCCAAAGGCAGACACTCAGCCATCATGAGCAGTCTTATGCAAAAGCATGCTTCTAGAACTTGACCATCTTTGGGGCGTATGTTTTATTCATTTTGAGTCCGTCACTTTACAGTGTCTACCTATGCTTGGCTTTCTCAGTGTTTATTATCTGCTGGGGTTCTATTTTTCTGTATGTTGTTGTATGTTATGATGAAATATTTAACATTTACAGAAGGATAGGGAAAGTACCCACCATCCAGATTTAGTGTGTTTGCTTCAGAGCTTTTCTGTTGTAAGAGAGAAACCATCACAGAGGAAATTTAGACTAGCTTATGTTTATTGAGCACTTACTATGGTACCACTAGGTACTTCTTGGATGTCTGTTGTATTGACTTAGTTAATTCTTACACAATCCTGTGAGGTGTGTACTCCTGTTATCCCTTCTTCATTGATGATGAAACTGGAGCACATGGAGGTTAAGTGTAACTGTGCTCAGGTCACTAACCTAGTTAATGGCAGAGTTGGAACTCAATCCCAGGCAATGTAGATCTCAAGCTATCAAGCATTACCCTATGCCTGTGTAATCGTTTGTAGTCCTTCTCAATCCTGTGATCCTGTACTACTCACTCCTCCTTGCTCCAGAGGCAACACTGTTTTGAAGCGAGTATCTCACCTGTTCACGTTTTTACATTTGCTGCCTGTTACGTATCCATAAACACGCATTGTGATTTAAGAGTGGTATCCTCAGCTAAAAATAGAACCTTGTAACTTTTTAAAAATCTCTTTCTTTGAGATATATCCATATCATTAAATGTAAGTCTATATATCTTAAGTGCAGTGTGTTTGGTGCTTTATCCATACACTAAACCCCTGATTGGCAGAATGAATATGGAGGAGCTCAGCGTGGAATATATTATAGTACTATGGCAACAGGACAACCATCCTGATTGTTTTCCAGGCAGCAATTAACCTTAGATAAGGCTGTGTACCCCGCAGTGTCAGTTGCCTTTCCTGTGCTGAGGAGGTTGGACTAGATAGTGTAGCTCAGTCATGAAAGTCTGAACATTAGAATGCATCAGATTTCTTTGCCTTTGGCAGAGGTAGCCGGAGTCTGGGATTTGGAGTTTATTCAAAGTAATTGCCACATCACTTTTCAGAGTTGCCAAAAATTTTTCTGTTGGTTTCTAAATGGTTTCAGATTAAAAAGGTCTGAAGTCTAACTATGCTGTCTGCCCTCAAGGCCTTAGAATACTTTCTAAATTTAAATGACTACTTTTATTTATTTATTTTTATTTTAAGGCTTATTTATTTTAGAGAGAGAGTGATGGGCAGATGCACAGGGAGTGACAGAAACCCAAGGGGACTCCACACTAAGCTTGGAGCCTGAGGTCATGACCGAGCCAAAACCAAGAGTCAGATGCTTTAACTGACTGCAACACCCAGTCACCCCTAGATTTTTTTTTAAGTAATCTCTGCACCCAACGTGGGGCTCAGACTCACAACACCAAGATCAAGAGTCACACATTCTACCAAATGAGCCAGCCAGGCACCCTGAAATGACTGTTTTTGAATGTTATAGCTATCACGCATAGTTTATCTGGAGCTTTGAGACAACCAAATAGAGGAGATGAGGATAGAACTGCCCGTTGAAAATATTTTCCAGAACATTTTGGTGCATGTGTTAGTAGAAGTCTTTCTGAACAGGGTTTTTAGAATAGACTGGGTCCATGTTCTAGGTTGTTAAGGGGGAAAGAATCAGCGTAACTATTACTTTATTTTATATCTTAGGAACGTGTCGTGGGCTTCCACGTACTGGGTCCAAATGCTGGAGAAGTTACACAAGGCTTTGCAGCTGCCCTCAAGTGTGGACTGACCAAAATGCAGCTGGACAGTACCATTGGAATCCACCCCATCTGTGCAGAGGTGGGTCCCCTGTACTTTGACAGCTCTGTTTAAAAGTGCACGACATCATTTGCCTTTCAAGTGGCAAGTCCAGGACTCTGAAGTTAGTGTCCTTCTGTTGTAGTTGAGCTACTTCTGTACCTCCTTACAGTTTAATTTCCTTTTTCAGATACTTTTGTTCCTGACATGAACTGGATAGGAGTATCATGCTAATGGTAAAATGATGGCAGTGATTTATTTATAGAGATGTGCCTTAAATTTTTTTTATCATGTCTCCTAAATGATTTTCTTGGCAGTCAATGATAGTGCCCTTCATACCCAGAAAGAGCTTGCAGTCCTAGTTATCCCAGAGCCACCTCAAGGCTCAGTGATGTTGTCTGCCTCTAGCTTTCTGTATCAAAGGATGAGATTTGAAAGTGTTGCTTTTAAAAGATCAAGCAACTGACACTAGAACTGGAAGTTGACCACTCTGGGCCTCTGGGGTGCCAACATTTCTTCATGCTTGCCCATGATCATGCAAGAGTTGAAGGTTATTATGTTTACTACTAAGCAGGGCTTGTAAACCAAAAATGTGTCGACTTTGGAGACTGGCAAAGGTTGGGAGAAGGTAGCTCATATTAGACCAGCGTAGGTATGGAGTTGAAAACCATAGCTGTTATCTGGTCACCAGAGTGAGTGGTTTCCAGGGTGTATATCTGCAGGTGCATGCCTGATTTCATTCTGCAGCTGGTTAACTGATGGGTGTCTGTTCTTTTTGCCCTTGCACAAGTGAATTCTTTGCTGAATATGTGAAATGTCAGCTTCAAGACTAAGGAAACATTTGGGTGTCCTTTTGCTTTTGCCTTTTCTATAATTAGGGATAGGGTCCTCCTCTGTGTTAATAATATACACCTGGCTAGGATGGAAGCATAAAATATTAACATGTTTCGTGACCAGGGCATTATTCATAGAAAACTTCTGTTTTTGTGAAATAAAACTAAGCTTCAAAAAAATGACCCCAAAATTGAAGAGTCCAGATTGAAGCTCTTAAAGAATATACAGCATATGTTTTTTGTTCATTGTAATGACTAAGACTATCTGCCTGGGGAAGGAACCAGCTAACTTCAGTTTTTTCATAAATACTTCCATTGAGATAAATATTAGTATATAATATGTCTTTAAAAGACCAAGTTGATGTAACAAAGTGCCACACATTGGGTGGCCTAAGACAAAAAAGTTTATCCTCGCATAGTTCTGGAGGTTGGATGTCTGAAACCAAGGTGTCAGCAGGGGCATGCTCCCTCCCAAGGCTCTGGAGAAGAATCTTGCCTGGCTGGCCTCTTCGAGCTCTTGGTGGTTGCTGGCAGTCCTTGGTCGACCTTGGCTGAGTCCTGCATCACTGTCATCTCTGTCTTCACGTGCATGGCCTTGCCTCCTGTGTGTCTGTGTCTGGATTCCTCTTATTAGAGGGACCTCAGTCACTGGATTAAGGCCCACTCAATCCAGCCTGACCTTATCCAAATAAGATCACGTTAACAGGTATTGAGCATGTCATTCTGGGAGACTTAACCCACTACACTGAGTATATTTAAAATTTTAGAAGCCAATCCAAGATATTTAAAAACCACAGCAGTCGTCTCTGTCCTGGATGAAAAGGTGACTTTTCAACTTGTGTATGTGAGTGTCTTAACTTTTTAACTCTGAGTTTGAGTTTAGCCCTCAGTGGACTGGTTAAAAGACTGACTCAAAAAAAAAAAAAAAAAAAAAAAGACTGACTCCCATCATCCACGTGTTGTATTGTGACCCGGCAGTGGCAGGTGAGGTGGTATCTGGCAGGATGATAGCCAGCTGTGCAGAGAGATGGCATTGAAGAGGCAGGGAGTCTTCCCGAAGCCTCTGCCTGCGGGTAGGTCAGCCAAAGGTCTCTTCTTTTTGGTATACTTGGCACATTTTGAGCATTTGCTCCTGTGCCTCTCCATTTGTTGGTTCTCTTATGACTTTGAAGCTTGGAGGCTGAAAGTGTCGCTGATTTGTTAGGGCTTTAAAAAAATTTTTTTCCCAAGCTGGTGTTGGTTAATTAATGAGAGAAAACGTGGGTGCTGCGTCACTCGGTGAACACATTTGTTGTACAATTATGAGTGTAGCACTGTGCCAGGCATTTATGGGGTTAGAGCAGAGATATAAGATGAGACTCAGAAAGAGCAAGTGGCAGCTGAGTGAAATAGCAATTGCAGTTCAGTGTGACAGGCCCCCAGATCAGGGGCAATCCTGATGGCGTCCAGAGTAGGGAAATCCAGGCAGGACAGTTGAGGAGGTAGTTCTGGTCTGTGATGAGTAGTGTGTTGGTAGTTAGCCTGTCAGAGGGAATACCAAGTACAAGGCCTCTGTGGGGGAGATCATGTTTCTTTAAGGAGGAACAGGGAGGACCTCTACTGCTGTAGCTTGAGGAGCCTATAGAGAAGTAAAAACAATGATGCTAGAGAAGCTGGTAGGAAGGTCATGGCCTTGTAAACCAGGGGCTTTATCCTGGGGGCACTGAGGTTTGGCTGAGAGAAGGTTAGAGCCAGGGGTAATGTGATCAGATGCACTGTAGAGAGAAATCACTGGCTGCATTGGGGCATTGCTCTACTGGACCAGAGCAGACACATCCAGAAGGGAATGGGGAGGTGGTACCTGCCTAGGGTAGTGGCAATGGACGTCAGGAGACCTTGAGACATTTGAGAGAAAAATAGGAGGTGACTTCATGGTGCTTGCCAACTGACTGCAAGCGGGAGAGGGAAGAAGCAGAGTGATTCACAGCTATGGCTTGAAGTGGGAAGTGGTGGCAAAAAAAAGCAGGTTCCAGGGGAGTGATTCTAACCACAGCGCCGACATTCTTCAGGCCTTCCTCTATGTGACAGGCACTCTGCTCTCTGCAAAGTCCTTACAAGCATTCCCCGGGGGCGGTAGTAGCTCCACTTGACAGATGGAGAAATGGAGGACTGGGAGGTTGAATGGAACTGGCAGAACCAGGCTTCAAACCCAACCAGTCTGGCTCCTGAGACACCACTGTACAAGTGATACCCTACTTGCATACCTCTTCTATGATATTTGACGTAGAATTTAAAATATAGAAATGATTTCCTGGTGGTAACATAAGTGTAGTGGAGACACAGAGCTGGGTTGTAATCTCAGCAGAATCTCAGCCTGGCCATGGCATCCAGCTTTTCAGACACCTTAACTAAAGCAGAGATGGTGCCAGAGTCCTAGGATTAGTGGACGACACTGTGTGGAGAGTTTGTAGGCTGGGTTCTTCTATCATTATAGAAGATGTAGCTTTACTCAAGGTCATCCTTACAGTATTTCTTAAGAGGGCTGGAGGATGGGGTGGGTAGGGATGTGTATTTTGAAAAAGGTCCTGTCCCGGATACCTGGCTGGCTCAGTCAGAAGAGTATGCAGCTCTTGATCTTAGAGTCATGAGTTTGAGCCCCACGTTGAGTGTAGAGATTACTTAAAAATAAAATCTTAAATAAATTTTAAACTAAAAACATGTGAAACAAGGAGAAAACAAAAACAGTTGGTCCACTTTTCCCACCCTCACCCCTGCCTCTTGTAACCACTAGGCTGTTTTCTCTGGGATCATGTTTTTTTGTTTGTTTCAGAATCCACATATAAGAGAGATCCTATAATATTTTTCTCTGACTCATTTCACTTAGCATTATGCTCTTGAGGTCCATTTATGTTGTTGCAAATGCCAAGATTTCATTCTTTTTTTAAGGCTGAGTAATAGTCCAGAGGGTGTGTGTGTGTGTGTGTGTGTGTGTACACCACGTTTTCTTTATCTACTGATGGACACTTGGGTTGCTTCCATATCTTGGTTATTGTAAGTAATGCTATAGGGAACGTTGGGGTGGAGATAATCTTTTTCAGATTGGTATTTTGTGTTTCTTGAGGGGATACATACCCAATATTGGAATTCCTAGGTCATATTGGTAGTTCTATTTTAAACTTTTGAGGCACCTCCATATTGTTTTCCATAGTGGTTGTACCAACTTACATTTCCACCAACAGTGAGTGCACAGGGATTCCCTTTTCTCCACATCCTCACCAGTACTTAATTCTTTTCTTTTTGATAGTAGCCATTCTAACTGGCGTGAAATGGTATCTCATTGTAGGTTTTGCTTTACATTTCCCTGATGATTAATGATGTGGAACATTTTTTCATGTACCTGTTGGCCTTTTGGGTGTCTTTGGAAAAATGTTCAGATCTATTTCTTAATTGGATTTGATTTTTTGCTGTTGAATTGTATGAATTCTTTGTGTATTTTACATATTTAGCCCCTTAATAGATATGGATTTACAATTATTCTGTTCAGGCAAGAGAGGAGTGATTTTTTTTTTTTTTAATCTCTCAGTATGAACTGCTTGCTGGCAAATCAGATTTTGAAAAAATCAAATTCTTCCAATCTCCAACTATGGAAATATTTTTTTACAGCTTCTTGATCAAGGGAAAGTAAAATTTGATTTGGAGGCAGTTTTTAGGGGTTCTTTTTTTCTGTGTTAAATGGGGGGTCTGGCTTGGATGGTGATTGGATTAGTTGCTGGACCCAGTTTTTTCATGTCCAGCTTTATGCTATAGAGACATGCCTCTCACAGCCACCCCAGAGTGTGTGTTAGTAGTGCATTTGAGATATGGATGGAAATGAAGAAGGGAAGGTTAGAAACTTGATGGTATCTCAGGTTGGCTTTTAATTTTACGTGCCTCTGAAAATTTCATTTTATTGGATTTCACAAATATCAGTCCATGGGCTGGATTAGAAGTCAGTAAGTTAAAAACTGGTCCTGAACACTATTGTAGTGACCAGAACTAGCCACAGCTCTAGGGCCAGTGGCGCTGGTTTGCGGAATGAATCACGAAAGGCTCTTCACACCATTGTGGGAATGTAACCTGTTGTTTGAGCAACCAACCTTTGGTTCTGAGGAGTAATTACTGAGAAAAGTCAACAGATTGCTCAGTTGAAGAATTGCTCTAAGAGAAGGAGAGAACTCTTTTAGCCTGCAA